TTATAGTCTTTAAGTCATTTTAAAATGTACAATTAAGCTATTATTGACTACAGTCACCCTACTGTGCTATCGAATAATAGGTCTTATTCTTTCTTTTTTTGAGATGAAGTCTTGCTCTGTCGGCCAGGTTGGAGTGCAATGGCCAATCTCAGCTCACTACCTCCACCTCCTGGGTTCAAGCAATTCTCCTGCCTCAGCCTTCCAAGTAGCTGGGATTACAGGCATGCGCTACCACACCGGGTTAATTCTTTGTATTTTTAGTAGAGATGGGGTTTCTCCATGTTGATCAAGCTGGTCTCGAACTCCTGACCTCAGGTGACCTGCCCACCTTGGCCTCCCAAAGTGCTGAAATTACAGGCGTGAGCTACCATGCCCAGCCTTATTCATTCTTTTTAACTATTTTTTGTATCTATTAACCATCCCCACCTCCCTCCTAGCTCCCACTCTCCTTCCCAGCCTCTGGTAACCATCCTGCTACTCTTTAGTCCATGAGTTTAATTATTCTGATTTTTAGATCCCACAGATAAGTGAGAATATATGATGTTTGCTTTTCTGTGCCTGGCTTATTTCATTTAACAAAATGATCTTCTGTTCCATCCATGTTGTTGCAAATGACTGCATCTCATTCATTTTTTTTTTTTTTTTGGGGATGGAGGTTTGCTCTTGTTACCCAGGCTGGAGTGCAATGGTGCGATCTCGGCTCACTGCAACCTCTGCCTCCTGGGTTCAGGCAATTCTCTTGCTTCAGCCTCCTGAGTAGCTGGGATTACAGGCACGGGCCACCATGCCCAGCTAATTTTTTGTATTTTTAGTAGAGACGGGGTTTCACCGTGTTGACCAGGATGGTCTCAATCTCTTGACCTCGTAATCCACCCGCCTCGGCCTCCCAAAGTGCTGGGATTACAGGCTTGAGCCACCGCGCCCGGCCCATCTCATTCTTTTTTATGGCTGAATAGTACTCCATTGTGTATATGTACCACATTTTCTTTATCCATTCATCTGTCAGTAGATACTTAGTTTGCTTCCAAATCTTAGCTATCGTAAACAATACTGCAACAAACATAGTAGTGTAGATATCTCACTAATATACTGATTTTCTTTCTTTTGAGTATACACCCAGCAGTGGGATTGCTGGATCATGATGGTAGCTCAACTAGTTTTTTGAGGTGCTTCCAAATTGTTCTTCATAGTGGTTGTACTAATTTACATTTCCACCAAGGGTATACAGGGTTCCCTTCTCTCTACATTCTTGCCAGCATTTTTTCCTGCCTGTCTTTTGAATAGAAGTCATTTTAGCTGATATCTCGTTGCTATCAATGATGATATCTCATTGTAGTTTAGATTTGCATTTCCCTAACAATCAATTATATTGAGCAGCTTTTCATGTGCCTGTTTGCCATTTGTATGTCTTCTTTTGAGAAATGTCTATTCAAATATTTTGTCCATCTTTTGTTCAGATTATTAGATTTTTTTTCCTATAGAGTTATTTGAGCTTCTTGTATATTCTGGTTATTAACCTCTTGTCAGATGAGTAATCAGAAGCTTTTTTTTTTTTTTTTTTTTGAGACGGAGTCTCACTCTGTCGCCCAGGCTGGAGTGCAGTAGCATGATCTCGGTTCACTGCAATCTCCATCTCCTGGGTTCAAGCGATTTCTGGCTAATTCTTGTATTTTCAGTAAAGACAGAGTTTCGCCATGTTGGCCAGGCTGGTCTTGAACTCCTGCCCAAGTGATCTGCCCACCTTGGTCTCCCAAAGTGCTGGGATTACAGGCATGAGCCACCACACCCAGCTGTTATATGCATTTTTAAGTCTCATGAATACATACTGTCAAATTGCCTTCCATGAAAATTGCACCGAATCGGCTGGGCCCAGTGGCTTATGCCTATAATCCCAACACTTTCTGAGGCCGAGGCAGGTGGATCACCTGAGGTCAAGAGTTCGAGACCAGCATCACCAACATGGAGAACCCCAGTCTCTACTAAAAATACAACGTTAGGAGAAGTAGCAAAGGAGAAAAGACTTACAGAGTGCCTACGTAAATTGGTTATGAGTGACATATAAACTGGGAACAACAAACCGTAGCAAACTGCGGGAGGCCTCTGGGGAGGCAAACTTCGCCACTCATGTTTTGGTGCAGGGTGAGCTAGGCTCTGTTACCATAAACATTGTGCTCAAGGACGTAAAACCCTTTCACAGCACTAAGGCGTAACCAGACTTGTAGTCTCCTTGTAAGGCCGGAGTTCCACCAGCTGCACATAGATGATAAGCTAAAGATAACTACATATTCTTGTTTTGTGAAACTCCCAAACCGCCGCTGCTATCAGTCTTTAGAATGACGCACCAGTTCTGGCTCACTGATTCAGTTCTGGCTCACTGATTCACCCCCACCATCACATCACCCTCTCCCCACCATCACTCCACCGCCTACTCTATAGATCAAAGTGATTGTAACCAACAAATACTGTAGGATATCAGAGCTCGATGCCTTCGCTGCCTCCATTACAAGTGATAGCCCCCGGTCCTACTTTTTGCATTCTTAATCTGTCTTTTTCTCATTCCTTTGTCACCACCAAACTTGGGATACCCACGGGTGATGTGGGGGCTGATTCCTTGCATACAAAACTTAGCCAGGTGTGGTGGTGCATGCCTGTAATGCTAGCTATTCGGGAGCCTGAGGCAGGAGAATCACTTGAACCCAGGAGGTAGAGGTTGCGGTAAGCCGAGATCACGCCATTGCACTCCAGCCTGGGTAACAAGAGTTAAACTCCATCTCAAAAAAAGAAAATAAAATCGCACCAAATTACATTTCCACCAGTGGTGTACAATAATGCCTCACAACACCAGGGATAATCATGTTTTGGTAGGCAATTTGTGGTATCTCATTGTTTCATTAATATGCATTTCCCTAAACCATACGTTTTTAGGTAATAGATATAAAGTGGTATCTCGTTGTTGCATTAATTTGCATTTTTCTAAGTTTCCCCCTTTTGGAAAGTACATTTTTCTTTTTAGTAAACCAATAAACCAATAGAATTTTAAAAATTTTCCTTTGTTAATTTTGAGATCATGAGACAAAAAGACACCAGAGTTTTTAGTCATATCTCACAACCACACACTGAGGCAGTGGAGTTAAAAAGAAGGTGCTCATCTAAGCAACCTTACTGTTTTACAGATTTAAAAAATAGGGGCTGGGCGCGGTGGCTCACGCCTGTAATCCCAGCACTTTGGGAGGCCGAGGCGGATGGATCACAGGGTCAAGAGATTGAGACCATCCTGGCCAACATGGTGAAACCCTGTCTCTACTAAAAATACAAAAATTAGCTGGGCGTGGTGGCATGCACCTGTAGTCCCAGCTACTCGGGAGGCTGAGGCAAGAGAATCGCTTGAACCCAGGAGGCAGGAGGCAGAAATTGCAGTGAGTCAATATGGTGCCACTGCACTCCAGCTTGGCAACAGAGCGAGACTCCGTCTCAAGTAAATAAATAAATAAATAAAAATAAGACCCAGTCATTAAAGAAAAATGTATTAATGAAAGCTGTGATGGTTTAATCAAACAAAATGAGGTTGTTTTGTAGCTACAAAAATTTCTGTGTATTTCAATTTAGGCAATATTATGTAGCATATACTATACTTCGAAAAAGTTACTCAACAAAGTGCTGCAAGAAAACCCAACAAACTCCTTTTAAGGAATCTATGTACAGGAGTAAGGGATTAATATCAACAAAGTGCTTGATGAAAAGCAAAGGGTTAACAATAGAAATGAATAGAATGAAACTAAATTAATGAGGACAGTTGATGACACAGTCAAATTTATAGAAACTTGTCAGCACACAATGGAAAATAATCTTTTAAAACTATTTTAGAGGTGAGGTTTTTACAAAATTATTCTGGTGGGGAAAAAAGTAAAACTTCATATATGACCACAGTTATACGTGTTTGGACAACAGCAGTTTCAGAAGATTGTGCTATCAGATACCTCTATATGGGGAAAGAATAGTCTATTCAATCAACAAGCACTCACTTATTCTAAACCTAGTGCTAAGAAGGATCTACCAAGATCAAAGGCAAGGTCTTTCTGTCCTGGAAGAGTTCAGTTTAATGAACGAGAAAGACAAAGATATAACATGAAACAGTATGATAAGAGCTATGATCATCCCATCTGAACGATTGTTGATCAGTCCCTGGGAGTTGTCAGCTCCAGGAAAGCTAGAAACAGGACAGACTGAGGTCAGATGCCAGAGACAGCAGGGCCAAGATGCCAAAGCCTTGCTCAGGAGCACAGCACTGGCATGGAGCTGAGGTCAGATAGCTGCCATGACACTGGGGCCAGGCAGCTGGCTGGAAAGTGGAGCCAGGGCAAGCCTGGGGGACACATCTGAAGTCAGAAATGGCAGGGGAAGGGGGAGATGGGAAGCCGAAAGCAGGAGACCAGCAAGAGTTTGAGTGAAGAACATTCTGTTGTGTGGGGACTTTCTCAAGGCCCTATTCACCAGCCCCAGGCAACAATCCACTGCTGACTTGGTGGGAGGTTATATTCTCCGACCAAGTATCTAACTGTAGGGTTGGTATAAAGTGGCCGGGGAGTCATCAACCTGAATTTTTGAGGCTTCAAAGAAGAAATAGCAGAGAATGTGTTCTGCTCTGCTTGAAGGGTGGAAGACGGAAAGGAAATGGTACAGGATGAGACTGATAAATTGGTACCAACAACCAACATTCATTGAGCACTTTCTCTGGGACAGGCCAAGTGTGAAGGGCTTCACACGCACAACCTTGTTTAAGCCCCACAACAACCTTGTAGGATAAACCTATTATTAGCCGGACTTCATAGATGAAGAAACTAAGAAACTTTGCAGATTACAGAGTTTACGTAATTTTTCTTAGGTTTTACGCTATAATGTGAGTTCTAACTCCAGAACTCTATTAACTACTAAATATGCTCTGTGGGGCATGACTATAAAGAGGCTTTCTCAGACTAAAAGTTCTGCACTTCCTCTTTTAGGCATGGTGATGCCTGTTTGGAGGCATGGCCAAATGTCATCAGCGTAAACTTTACAGTCTTTGGACCTGGGTTCGAAGAACAGTTCTATAACTTGGTGAGATTTCTTGTTCAAGGTAATCTTAGGCATCATTTTCCTGTTCTGAATTAAGAATAATAACAATGTCTTTTTGCTGGAATGTTGTGAGACTTAAATATGACAATGTACATGGAAGCATCGGTTGACTACAAAGCTAAACGTAAATATTAACTGTTAGGCATTCTACTGTATTTTAGATAAACCATCAAGGCAGCCACGAAGCAGAGTGACTTGAGAGCCATCTGGAGACTATTTTAATGATCCAGATGAAGGATGATGACAAGGGCCTATGCCAAGGCAGTGGCAGTGAGGATGGAGAGAAAGGACATATTTATAGGATATTTAGGTCACTTTACAAAACAGAACCGAATGACAGATTGGATACAGTGAGGGAGAGGAAAGGGGGTCAGAATGATTCAGAATTTTATGTTGAGTAATCGAGTGGATGGTGATGTTATTAATTACTCATCGCGAAAGAAGAGTAGGCAGAATAATATGTTCTATTTCAGGAATATTGTGACGAGGTGTGTATGAGACATCCAGTAAGCAGAGATGTGAAATATGAGTGGGACTATGGGGGCGAGGGGGGGCTCAGAAAAGAGATGTGCCATAGATTCAGATTTGGACCCCACTGGGATTTGTGAGACTAAAACTCTGAGAATAGAGGTCATGTCCAGGTAAGACATAAGGCAATGGTTTGTACCCCTTTAAAGCCAAGGAAACTTTCCACTCACACACACAAAAAAGAAATGTTTACGCTAAAACCCAGTTTGCAAAACAACTCAAAATGAAGCTTTTCTGGTTATATCCAGAGTGAGTTTCCTGGAGCCAACTTCTTGAGACAGCCTCTGAACACGTTTCACTGAGCCCAGTTTGAGAACCACCTACATGGAGAAGAGAAGTGTGTGAGTTAACCACTAAATGGAGTCTGAAAGAAAGCAGCTTATGCAAAATCAGACTGGAATTTTAGTTTTAGATTTTTTGTGAAAAGCTTTTTTGAAACTTTAATGATGTTCGAAGCTTCACCCAGTTATTTGCAGTACTAATACTCATTCTGGCCTGCTCTTACAGATCTGTGACTTTATTTCAATGTCTGTGTGTGTCCACCAGAAGCCGCAGGGCCATTCAAATAAAGAAAGTTGGCTGAGTTTCCAAGTCTCTCTTTCCAAGGTCATGCACGTTGGTTTTCCTCTTTATCAGCAGAGGCTTATCTTATATACATCTGCTGGGTCATTCGTGCTAAGATCATCATGTTTGTCCCAATTACCATGATTCTTACGTGATCTCTAAACTAGATAAATGCTCATCCACTCAAGCAGTTGTTTAATAAAAGTAATCTTAAATATTTAACTTGTAAACTTTTTAAAAAGTCGAATTGTCCTTTTGATTTGGGTAGCCAAAGACAAACAAAAAGATTAAAAAAAAAAAAGAAATTAAAAAAAAGAAAAAAAAAAGTCCAATTGGTGAAACCTTTTCTCTAAATTAAATTAATCGAGTCTGCTTATTATTTCAACACAGTCGAGGGTTTAATTTTAAATCCACTAAGGGCATTTTGACTTGGTTATTAAATCAGAAAGACCTAATCATATGATAAAGAAAGATAACAGGAGCAAGAAAAAGAGGGGAGCAGAGGGGGGTCAAAAGAGAGAAGCAAGGACATCGCGTGATGTATTATATTAAGAGCTACTTTAAAAACAAAAACAATAGCACTCTAACATATCAGGGATCTAAACAATAAAAATTTATTTCTCAAAGTTCAACATTGTGGATATTTATGACTGGCATGTGATTGTTCATTTTGTAACTTGGGTACCCTTTTAGAGCCTCTTCATCTTTGTCTGGGTCCTTTGCCACTCAGCGAGTGGATTGTGGACAAGAAGACTGCATGTGAGAGGTTTCTACGGTCCAGGCTGAAGGTGGGCGCATCACTTCTGTGCACGTTTCTTCAGCCAGAATGAGTCGCAAAGCCATGCTTATCTGCAAGGGGAGTTGAGAAATGTCACCTAGTCATGTGCCCAGAGGTAAGCAGAAGTGGAGAAAGTGAGCAGCAGCTACTCTTTGGTACAGATTAAACAAAAAGTGCCTATGCACATGTTTTGTAAAAATTAGGAAAAATGAATCCCTGGTACATAAAAATTTTCAGTCTGGCTCTTCTTATATGGAAACCTTAGTCCAAAGTCCTGAGAGAGGCGCATGTTGAATACTCCCAGCCCTGTTGCAGATATCAGTTAATTCCTAAATGGGAAGGAATTACTGTGTTTTTCAGATGTACCAAAGAAACTGTTCATCTATCTTATAGACAAGATCCAATTCTTAAAACATTAAGAAAATATTTTATTTCAGATAGTGAAACAAAATGTATTTGTGTTTGATGCAGCTGGGCATTATTATATAAACTTTTCCTTTACAAACTTCTCATAAAAACTTGTTCACATTCTTACCCCAAAAAAAGTTTTCAAAAAGCTAAACACATACCCACTGAGTCATAGAATAATTGGAATTCTGACAGGAAGATAACTGTAAAGCAGTTCTTTAAAGAGGAGTAGCACTTTGCTTTATTTAAACTCCACAAAGTAGGTAAGCGTTTTATGGGTCGTGGATTTTCTAATTCAAGGTGTTATGCAATACACAGCTCGGCTTTGAATGGTTTCCTCCTTTGTTCTTCTTGCACGCACATGCCATTTGGTGACATCCTGAGGTCCAGGAGGCTATTGGATTAGACCTTCTGAAAAAGAAAGGTTATTTTACGCCATGTATAAGAAAAAGCTTTGATGATTCACAGAATTAAAGCTTTTCACTTCCCAGCAGGGGAGATTTCCCAGCCAATATGTTGAAAGGAAAGAGCCTTTATTAAAACTTGCTCCCTGATAGAACCAAAGATCCCAGCTGGCTTTCTCAGGAGGCACAGAGCATTATGCCGATATTGATTAGACAACTTTTAAACAGCACCAGTAGACAAAAGACATTTTCAGTCTCCAAAAAAAAGAAATGGAATGAGTGCCAAGTCCGCATTTTATGGAGAGTATAAGGCTTGTTCCAACAAATGTTTTCTCATTGTGGAGTAATGCTTGAGGAAGCACACATCAGTTTTATGCCCCTTCATAATTTGTCCTGTACCACTGGTTCAACCTGTTGAGGCATGTCTGATAAGAAAAATCTTGCCTCAAATTTTTTTTTGGCTTTAGAAAACATAGGTTAATTGCACTTGACTTAGCTGCGAGTAACAGTAGGGTCTTCCATCTCTTTCTTGTCACCTTTTTAATGACACTCCATGTTTTTGCTTCATTTGCTTGAAGAGAGCCCTGAAACAGTGTGTACTGGTTTGTAATCGGCATCAGACTTGATTACTTAGTACTTTGTAAATAGCTTTAAACTCAATAAAAGAAGCTCTTCGTAGATGTTTCCTTTTGGGGACATATCAAAAGAAAGTTGTCCTTTTCTTTTCTTCCCCGTTTTATACTAATTTTTTAATGCCAGAATTCTACCTGTAATGTATTTTGAGCTTTAACCATTCTGATTAGATGGCCATTGCAAAAATTCATAAAACAAGCAATTCTCCAATTGTGCTTGCAGCATGGTATTTTATGGAGTATGTTATATAGACCACTATGGTTCCCAAAGTAATTATAGGTGCTATGTGAGTGCAGAATGTATTCATTAATAACAGAATTAATTATGCCAGAATTTATTATATGACTCACATGTAATAAAAAATACTGCTCTGTTTCAATTCTCTTTGAATCCTTTTGTCAAGGAGAAGGTTTCAATTTAATGATATTTTTTCAAGCACTTCTTTTTAATGAGAAGTTTCAGCTGAGAGTCATTGGCAGAAAATTTTATCTACCTAGAACTTAATTATATTTTATTCTCCTTACTTTTATTTTTATTTTTCATCTATGTATAGCAGGTGAAACAGATTGCCCAGTTTTTTCAAATGATATACAGTTTTATTTTAAAATAATTGTAATGCTTAAAAGGGAGTCAATTTAAAGGAAAATATCAAATAATAAGAGTAAATGGTTTATAGCACTCAAAAATGAAGCTATCAGATCCTTGATGAGAGACTTTATTACCATTTCAGCCTCCTTACTGATTATTGATCTGTTCTTTTTTATTGAGATGGAGTTTCGCTCTTGTTGCTCAGGCTGGAGTGCAATGGTGCAATCTTGGCTCACTGCAACCTCTGCCTCCCAGGTTCAAGTGATTCTCCTGCCTCAGCCTCCCAAGCAGCTGGGATTACAGGTATGTGCCACCATGCCTGGCTAATTTTGTATTTTTTAGATGAGGTGACGTTTCACCATGTTGGTCAGGCTGGTCTTGAACTCCTGACCTCAGGTCATCCACCTACCTTGGCTTCTCAAAGTGCTAGGATTACAGGTGTGAGCCACCACGCCTAGCCATATGTTTTATTTCTTCATGATTTAGTCTTGGTCGGTTATATTTGTTGAGGAATGTATCCATTTCCTCTAACTTCTCCAATTGTTGGCATATAATTGGTTCAGAATAGTCTCTTATGATCCCTGGTATTTCTATGCTCTCAGTTGTAATATCTCCTCTTTCATTTATTTAGAGAAAGTCTTCTTTAAAGAGAGAGTCTTCTCAAAAGGCCGGGTGCAGTGGCTCATACCTGTAATCCCAGCACTCTGGGAGGCCGAGGCAGGCAGATCACCTAAGGTCGGGAGTTTAAGACCAGTCTGACCAACATGGTGAAACCCCATGACAAAGGAAAAAAAAAAAAAAGAGAGGGAGTCTTCTCTCTTTTTTTCTTAGTCTAGTTAAAGGTTTGTCAATTTTGTTTATCTCTTTTTTTTTTTTTGAGACGGAGTTTCACTCTTGTTAACCAGGCTGGAGTGCAATGGCACGATCTTGGCTCACCACAACCTCCGCCTCCTGGGTTCAGGCAATTCTCCTGCCTCAGCCTCCCGAGTAGCTGGGATTACAGGCATGCGCCACTATGCCCAGCTAATTTTTTGTATTTTTAGTAGAGACGGGGTTTCACCATGTTGACCAGGATGGTCTCGATCTCTTGACCTCGTGATCCACCCGCCTCGGCCTCCCACAGTGCTGGGATTACAGGCGTGAGCCACCGCGCCCGGCCTCTTTGTTTATCTCTTGAAAAAACGAAATTTCACTTAAAGAAAAAAAAATTTAAAGAAGGACTAATACTTAATATTTCTCAAACTCTTTCAAAAAACTGAAGAAGAGGGAATCCTCAAACTCATTTTGCAAGACCAGCATTACCGTGATACCAAAGCCAGACAAGGACACTATAAGAAAAGAAAATTATAGGCCAATAATCCTGATAAACATAGATGTAAAAATTCTCAACAAAATACTAGTAAACCTAGTTCAACAGTACATCATAAGAATCATTCACCATAATCAGATGGGATTTATCCCAGGAATGCAAGAATGGTTCAACATACATAAATCAACAAATGTGATATATCACATTTAAAGAATTAAGGACAAAAATCTTATGATTATCACAATAGATGCAGAAAAAATATTTGACAAAATTCAACATCCTTTCCTAATAAAAACTCTCAACAAATTAGATATAGAAGGAATGTACCCCAATACAATAAAGGCCATATGTGACAAACCCATAGCTAATGTCGCACTCAGTGGTGAAAAGTTGAAAGCTTTTTCTCTAAGATCAGGAACAAGAAAAGGATACCCACTCACCATTTCTATTCAACATAGTACTGGAAGTCCTAGCCAGAGCAGTTAGGTGAGAGAAAACATAAAAGGAGTCCAAATTAGAAGAACTTAAGTTGTCTCTGCAGACAACATTATCTTATATATAGAAAACCCTAAATCCTTCACCAGAAAACTGTTAGAATTAATAAACAAATTCAGCAAAATTACAGGATAGAAATTCAAAATATAAAAATCAGAGTTTCTATGTAGTACAATGAATTATCTGAAAAAGAAATTTTTTAAAATCCTATTTACAAAAAATTTAAACAGGAATAAATTTAACCAAGGAGGCAAAAGACTTATACACTGAAAACTATAAAACATTAAAGAAAGAAATTGAGGAAGACACAAATAAATGGAAAGATATCCCAAGTTTATGGATAGGAAGAATTAATATTGTTAAAATGTCTATACTATCCAAAGTGATCTACAGATTCAGTGCAATTTCTATCAAAATACCAATGACATTTGTTCACAAAAATAGAAAAAAAAATCCTAGAATTTATACAAAGCCACAAAAGACCCCAAAGAGCCAAAGTAATCTTGAGCAAAAAGAACAAAGCTAGAGGCATCATACTACCTGACTTTAAAATACACTACAGGCTGCTATTCTGGGCACTCTGCCTATAGGGTAGTCCTGCTCCACAAGGAACAGTAAAATATATTTTAAATAAATGAAAAGAAAATGTTTGCAAACCATACACTGATACGGGGTTACTATCCAGAATATGTAAGGAGGCCAGGTGTGGTGGCTCATGCCTGTAATCCCATCACTTTGGGAGACCAAGGTGGGCAGATCATTTGAGGTTAGGAGTTCGAGAATAGCCTGGCCAAAATGGTGAAACCCTGTCTCTACAACAAATACAAAGATTAGCCAGGTATGGTGGTGCACACCTGTAATCCCAGCTACTCAGGAGACTGAGGCAGGAGAATCACTTGAACCTGGGAGGTGGATGTTGCAGTGAGCTGAGATCATGCCACTTCACTCCACCCTGGGCAACAAGGCAAGACTGTGTCTCAAAACAAACAAACAACAAATAAAAACCAAAATAT